TAAATCTTCCCAAATCTTCCCTCAACAGAGAAGCCAGAGGAGCCTTTTGAAAATATAAATAAGTTTACATCATTCCTCTAATTAAAATTCACAATGAGGCCTCCCTGGTGGCACAAGGATGCAACCTGTGAAGCAATCCACAGCCACTGAAGCATGAATTCAATCCCCGGCCATCCAGGGAGCAACCAACATGGCACAGTAGACCTCTCTGTCTCATCCGCTGCTCCCCTCAGCAGTGTATTTCAGTCAGTCTGCCTGTTCTGCTCCCCACTCTGTCTCTAGTGTTACTGTGATGGTTAATTGCATGTGTGAACTTGACTAGATCAATGTATTTCCAGATATTTAGCTAGACATTATGTCTGGGCATAACTGTTAGGGTGTTTCAGGATGAGATTGGCATTTGAATTGGTAGACTGAGTAAAGCTGAGCCTTATCCAATCTTTTGAGGTCCTGAAAAGCACCAAGGAAGGGAGAATTCAAAGATTGCTGATCTGGGACACTGGTCTTCTCTTACACTCAGAGTAGGACTTAAATCATTGTCTCCTCTGGTTCTTGGGCTTTGGGACTGAGACTGGAAACACATCACCAGCTTTCCTGGACCTCTAGTTTATAGATGGTAAATTGTGGAACTGCTTGCAAGAGATATAGACATATTTCTATCCAACTGTCTGTCTATCTATTTGCTTTATCTGGTTCTGCTTTTCTGAAGAGCACTGACTAACACAATTACCTTATAAGGCCTGGCATGATCTGCACCTACAGACCCCTCTGCTGTTACCCTGCTGACACCTTTCTAACCATACAGGCCTCCAGGCCACTCTGAGCATGCTGGTCACCTCAGGGCCTTTGCACTTGCTGTTCCTTCTTCCTGGAACAGTTACTATGTAGAGGGATACTTGTTTACACCCTCCATTCCTTCAGGTCTATACTTAAATATGACCTTTTTACTGAAGCTTCCCAAGTATTCTCAGTGCAAAGAACAAGGTATACAGAGTAGCTGTTTAGTCGCTATTTTTTAATGAATAGAATGAATAAATGTCTTGGGACTATAGGAAAAAGGAAACTGGTTGCACATGGGTTCCTTCAGAAATCAAAAGGCATTTTACTTGGTTCACCTAGCATTTTTTTAAAAGATTTATTTATTTATACAAGAACCGGAGTACTGGCCAGATGTGAGGGAGGGTGAGAGGATTCACCAGAGACAGAGCAGGAAACAGAACAGGCAGACTGATGAAATACACTGCTGAGGGGAGCAGCAGGTGAGACAGGAGAGGTCTGCCATGCCATGTGGGATTCTTGCTGGCGGTCCGGCAGGGATCAAACCGGCACTGCAGAGGCAGTGAACAGCTTCACAGCGCAGTGCTCAACTGCCTGCGCCACCAGAGAGGCCCCACCCAGTATTTTTATTTATTTATTTATTTTGCTGTTGTTTTATTTATTTTTTAATTTAAATTTTATTTTTATATTCTCCATACAATTACAATCCCCTTATTTTGACCCCAATCCCTCCTTTCCCCGCCCCCCATCCCCCATAGAGTGTCTCTGGTTAATAGTTGTTTGTTGATTTTGATATTTTCTTTCTTATAGTTATTCTTTTTCCTGGTCCCTTATTTAGGTTTTCTAGATTCCTGCTATGAGTGAGACCATTCAGTATTTTTCTTTTTCTTTCTGGCTTATTTCGCTGAGCATGATCCCTTCCAGCTCCATCCATGCTGATGCAAATTGCATGTGTTTCTCTTTTTTGCATGCTGAGTAATAGTCCATGGTGTATTTGTACCACATCTTCTTGATCCAGTCATCTATTTTTGGGCATTTGGGTTGTCATCTTCTTTATTGCTTACAAACAAGGTCCCATAGGCAATGTAAAGCAATGAAAGGGATTGTTTTTAAGATGATATGGTAGAACAGTGGACCCTGTGGCTCATTGTAACCAGTCACACTCAACTCCAGTTTATGGCTATCATGTGCCAACATATGCTCAGTATCACCAGATCTAATTTTAAAGAGAAGTCAGAATTATCTTGAGCTTTAAAAATTGTCAATGACTGTAAAGTTTTAAAAATACTGGGTGTTTCCACCCACACAAGATAATTCTGACTTCTCTTTAAAATTAGATCTGGTGATACTGAGCATATGTTGGCACATGATAGCCATAAACTGGAGTTGAGTGTGACTGGTTACAATGAGCCACAGGGTCCACTGTTCCACCATATCATCTTAAAAACAATCCCTTTCATTGCTTTACATTGCCTATGGGACCTTGTTTGTAAGCAATAAAGAAGATGACACATCTTTTGCCCTCGTTGTTAATTTTCTGTTAAGGAGGTAAATCCTTATTTACCAAATAGTCCTTGACTAGGTTAAGATGGACCTCAAGATTAAATTCCATGATGCACACACAGTTTCTCCCAGTTATTTTATCAATAACCCACGAGCTACTTTGAAAGGATTTAGCAAATGTAATTAAGATCCCTAACGAAGAACCCTGAAACATGATGATTATCCTCAATGTGGCTGACCTAATTTGGAGAGGGTTAAAAGGAATTGGACTCTTAAAGGAAAAATACCCCTGAAGTATGATAGGGCTGTACCGTGGAGAAGACTCTCAGTTGCTGGCTTGAAGATATCACAAGACAAGGAATGGAGGTGATGTCTAAGAGCTGAGAGTGACCTGTAACAGTGAGAAAGAAATTGGAGACCACAGTCCTACAACTACAAGAAATTGAACTCAGCCAATGCCTGAATGAGTTTGGAAGCAGATTCTTCCCAGAGCCTCCAGGGATGAGAGTCTGGCCATGATCTTCAGCTTTGCGAGGCCCTAGCGGAGAACACTTCCACAGCCCACCATGTCTCACCTACAGAATTGTGAGTTAATGTGTAAGTGAAAGGATGTTGTTTGAGTCTCTGCTGACAACAATGTAATGCAACTATAATAGAAAACTAACACAAGGCCTTAATTTTTATCAAAGGATAAATGGTTAAAAATTTTTAAGTCATGTTTGTTTCTCTCTCACACATCATTTTCTAAATAAATAAGAGAGCTCCTGCTGCAAGTAAAATAAAATCTTAATTGAGTTTAACTCTCTATACAGATTTCACCATGAACATTCACTTCTTATTTAATAGAATCCTTTGGTCTTTAGGAAGAAGTACATGTGTTTTGACCAAAGTAATATAAAAATAAAAGTAGACATTCTGCCATTTTTGTATGGTTTTCTAGGTTTGTAATGTAAAGTGAAGGGTAGCATTTGTACAAAACTGCCTAATTCCACCCAGGGGAAAGTAAAGGACATTTTAAATAGCCAGCCCATGGCAATGGTTCTCCATCTCCCTAGGATCATCCCATGTAGGGCATGTCAGTTGGGAACTGCATAGCTTATTGTCTTTTAAATGCATAAATCCCTGTTGAAATGGCACCCACTCTATCTGGGAAGGATGTCCAAACCACAGCCTGCATTTCATCTGATACTCTACTGGATCCTAAATTAGAGAGCTCCGCGACCCGTCCACTTTGGTGAGAAGCATAGGAAATACCCTGGCCTTGAATGTGTGTGCTTTGAAGAATTTTTCACCCAGAAAGACTGCTGGAATAGGGATGACAGCTCCAACAACAGGAGTCAGTTGCCTGTTTCCAGATGATGGCTCTTGGTGCACATTTCCACCAGCTGCTGATGGGTAGGTGGTTCTGAGCTCCCTGGAAGGCATCCCCCCCTCATGGTCTAAGAAATATGTGCTGGGTTTTCCTAGGAGCTATATGTCACACAGATGGGAAGCAATATTGAAAATACATTTGAAAAATGGCTTCCATACATCCGGAGCCAATTCCAAAGGCGAATTTTAGTTCTGTGATATAAAATGAGGCAGCAGAATAGACCAACATGGGTGGCAAATTCAATATACTTATTGATATTAATGGGAACATAAGGAAATGACTTAAAGAAGTGAATGTCTCTTTTCATTTCTGGTTGCATGTAAGAAGGAAGGAAATGCAGAGGGATGGGTGTTTGAAAAGGAAGGGGAAGGAGTTGTGATCCCCCAGCACCGGCCAGGACTACTTCTTAGACTGGATCGGTTCTCTGCAGTCTCTGTGCTCCCCCCCACCCCACCATCCCCAGCAGTAGACCCCACCTCCGCACTTGTCCCACTTCACTATTAATGTTTGTCAAATAATATGTTCACCTTCACATGCTGTATGTTGTTTGAGAAAGTTTGGGTGTTATGGCCATCTTTATAGGCCCAGCCCTCACACTTTTTTGGTTCCCCCAAAAGCAGACCCTAAGACAAGAAAGTTTGTTTAGGAGGTGATCCCAGGAGCGAGGAGGGAGTGTAGGCAGACAGGGAAGGGAAGCAGCCTATACAGGGGATGAATTGCTAACTCATGACTGCAGGAAATGAGAGCTCAGTTCTCTAGCACCCTCATGCTTCAGACTCATTCCACGGAAGATTTGGGGAGTTGGGTATTCATCCTCCAACCCCTCATTTTTATTCCTAGGCTGCTCTTACAAGGCACAGCTCCTGGCACTTCCAGCTGGCCCTGCAGCTGGGGCAGAAAGATACACACTTTTGCAATGGATCCTGTCCAGTTGCACAGGAGAGCCACTTAGAGTAGTGGGTTGATATCAACAGCTTCCGTACACATTTATTGGAAGAATATATGGATGAATGAAGCAAATTATTTCTTTTATTCCAATTTCCTTTGAATTGGTCTATTGTGTTACATGCATTGCTTTATTTTTTTCTTCATGTTCTTAACTGAGATATAATCTTAATAAAGAGCATAAAGTTTTCCCGTCTTAGATATACAGCTCAATGACTTTTGTCCATATAATCTCTGTGCACACCCACCCAGTTCCAAATATCAAACCATCCCCATGGCCCAGTAAGGCTCCCACTCAGTCAACACCAACATTCAACCAGAAACAATCACCATTCTGATGTCATAGATTCCTTCATGGATACTTGAAATTTTGACAAAGGTGTTTACACAACACATTCTTGTTTATGTCTTACTTTTTCCACTCAACACAATCCATGGGCACATCTACAGTGTTGTGAGTACTCATTAATTGTGTGTGTGTGTGTGTGAATGCCTTGCAGTGTTCATACAAATCAACGTTGCCATAAAAACTACTGCATCCCTATGTTTATAGCAGCACTATTTATACTAGCTATGGAAACAAGCTATGGAAACAACATAAATGCCCAAAAATAGATGACTGGATCTAGAAGATGTGGTACATATACACAATGGAATATTACTCAGCAATCAAAATAGATAAACTCATGCAATTTGTTGCAACATGGATGGAGCTGGAAGGGATCATTCTCAGCAAAATAAGCCAGAAAGAAAAAGAAAAATAGTGAATGGTCTCACTCATAGCAGGAATTTAGAAAACCTAAATAAGTAACTAATTATAATAAAGTAAAAATCAAAATCAACAAGCAACTATAACCAGAGACACACTATGGGGGGGTAGAGTGGGGAGGAGGGATTAGGGTCAAAATAAGGGGGGTGGGAATTGTATGAGGAATATAATCAAGATGAAAATACATACATTGTGCAAAAATGAAATTGATGTAAAAATATATATAAAATAAAATTAAAAAGCAAAAAAAAAGTTGACTAAATGAGTGAATTTCTGTTTTATAGCCATCCCTGCCTCTAGCAATGTTACTTGGCATATCACTAGATCCTGGAAGTCCAGCCACAGGGAATTCTCCTTTCCCACCACCCCTCAGCTTACTCTCAGGATAATTATACCTGCCTGGTCAAAGGCAGTTTTATCTCCTCACAGCCGTGAATGAGGAAAAATTGTCTATGGCTTATCAAAGTTGGTTTGAGCTCTGGAGAAGATAGACTAGTTTTTAAATAAAACTCCAGCACCAAACTAATTATAAGCCCCTAATCAAGTCATATTAGCTCTTTCTTTTCATTAAAAGAAAGGTGTCAGACACAAAAGCATTGATTTGAAAGGAAACCTGCACTCCTATATTGCAGCACTATTTACACATGGAAACAACCCAAATGCCCCAAAATAGATGACTAGACCAAGAAGATGTGGTACATATACACAATGGAATACTATTCAGCAATCAAAAAAGATAAACTCATGTCATTTGCAGCAACATGGATGAAGCTGGAAGGGATTATGTTCAGCAAAATATGAGTCAGAAGGAAAAAGAAAAATATCAGATGGTTTCACTTATAGCAGGAATATAGGGGAACCAAATAAGGGATCTGGAAAAAAAAAGACAAAGGTGGCAGGCAACTATATATCAGAGACAGTCCTCAGGGAAGGGAGAGGGAAAGGAATAAAAATGGGAGGGAAGAGCACAGAAGTCCATGGTGATGGCTCATGGGTGACTTGGTGGTGGGAATTTTATAGGGACTACACCTGAGAGGAGAAATCAAATATTGTACAAAAGTGAACAATGATGTAATATATATATATATATATATATATATATATGTATATATTTTTTGAAAAGGAAAGGTGTTGGGCTAATGGTTTCTATCATCCTTTCTGCTCCATGGACTGTGGTTGTGACAGGCATTGACTACACCTGATTGAGCATCATCCCCACATGCACGCCTAAGAAAATGGTGTTTCTCACTTACACAGACAGACACCAGCCTTCACCAGCAAAGCGCATCATTGGGCGACTGATCATGAGGCAAAGCTGGGTTGGGGGTCAGGCAGGAGAGATATAAGTACTTGTTAATAACAGTGTAAGAGCAGGAAGGGACTTTTGTTATTTTTAATTGAGGGGGCAGGAATTTTGTTTATTACTGGATGGGAATGAATAGCTGTGGTACTGTCCTTCTTTCCTAAATGCAAAGGAGGAATGCAGAGAGCTTACTTCTGCAGGCAGTGACCCTGTCCCCCATCCTCCACCCTTTCCATTTTTTCGTGATTAGCTCAATTTCAACAGCCCTAATCTGCCTCACTGACTTAAGGATTTGTTTTTAAAGTCACTGCCACACTGGAAGTCCAGAAATTTTCATGAATTAACAGCCCCCACCCCATCAATGATGCTTCAGGTATTGCATAGATAACACAGTTCTATCATTCTTCAATGGATAACTCTATGGCATGTGTTTTACAACCATTCTCCCCCACCCCTAGAAATAAATTCCAATTACCTACAAAGTTGACAACCCAATCACACACCCTGCATGGCCTTCCTTCCCTGCCGGCCTTGTTGCCTCAGTCCTTCCAAATATAGTTTCCACCCAAGCCCTTGCCTTGGGGCTGGTTTCTGAATAACACGGATAAAAGCAATCTTTTTTCCTTTTTAATAAAGTACAAATCAGAGGCTATTTTGTTTCTTTCAGTGACAATAGTCACCTATCAGAATAACAAAAGTGAACAAAAATTTAAAGAATTCACTTTATAACAGAATATTTTGAATGTTCTTCTTCTAAGGAACTCTTACCTAGATAAGTACATGAGAAAATATTCTTTCAAGGGCACCATCCACCAATCATTGTTTTTATTCTTTTTTTTTTTTTTTGAGGGGAGAAATTGACCAAATCATCTCCTCAGATATTCTCCTCCCTTCGAGTCCACAGATGTCCTGTCAGTTGCTGAGCATTGACTCTCAAGGTCCATGAGGCTCATTCTCCTTCAGTGTGACATGGCAGGTGACAGGGGACACCACCACAGAAAGCTCGTGCTTCAATTCCATTCCTTCGAAGAAACTTCCCACACACCCTTTCTCCTCTTGATAAACTCCTTGAGGTCAGTAGGAAAAAGTCTTCCTCCATAGGCCTCCCTGTTGGCCTACGGGGTAAGTCTCAACGCTATCACCTCCAAGGCCTGAGTTTGATCCCCGGCCAGGGAGCTACCCACATGGTACAGCAGACCTCTCCTGTTTTGCCCGCTGCTCCCCTCAGCAGTGTATTTCAGTACATCTGCCTGTTCTGCTCCCCACTGTGTCTCTGGTGAATCCTCTCACCTCTGGCTTGCACCCCAGTTCTTCTAGGCAAAAAAAATAAATAAACATTTTAGAAAAGAGAGAAAGTCTGCCTCCATTAGCGAATCTACTGAGGGATAATTGGAATGCAGGGGCAGGGGCTATGATGAGAGAAACCTGGGCTGCTGAGGAGACAAGGGGTAAAAGCAAGGATGCGTAATGGGCTACTCCATTCGTATGCCTCCCAGCCCATTGTCTGCCACACTACAGATACTTCAGACCTGAGGTCCTTTGTGTGGGAGGAAACAACACGTCAGAGGCAAGACATGCTAAAATGGTTGACAATCACACTAAAAATTAAATAACTGTGAGCAGGGAGATGACATAATGCATGGTGTTCTGGCTATGGACTTTAGCCCTCTGAGTCAGTAGAACAGACGTCCTTCAGTTCCCTCCCTACTCCCCCTTTACCAATCAGGGTTAAAGCTTGTTTAATTAACTGATGGGGAACTTAACGCAGAGGGATTAAGGGGTGACTGTGTTGTGAAAAGTGGAAGCCAGCACTGGGTTGGCTTGATCCTGATCTTCTGCACAGACCACATGTTCCAGCATCTTGGAGACTAACAATGATCATCTGGTCCGAGTCACTTAACGTTTTATTGTTTCCTTATGATGATTATTCAATTCGTCGTACTTGAAAATATTAATGTTTTTTATTTTGTATGTATATTTTAATTCTTGGCTTTCATCTCTATATTTGGGTTTGTTTTAAAAGTGCAGTTTAAAAAATTAAATCAACCAAAAATTTGCCAGAGCTTTTAAATGTGGTCCCCACTGCATTTTTGAAGTTGTAACTTTAAGGCTGAGAAATTTTTTCCAGGGAATGAGAGTTCATCTTGAAAGGGAACAAGGTGAGGCACCATATGGCAGCCCACCAGGCAGGGGGTGGATGGAGCCAAGCCTGTGTTCAGATGGCTGCTCCCCCACCCACTTCAGGAGCAAGCTGCTCCCTGTTAACCCCTTACACATGCAGATGTGAGCTCACTTTTATTTGGATCATCGCTGTAACCCAGGCACTGGTCAGGACTGCTTGTGTTACACCACTTGACCAGGGAAGACACCATGGCTAAAAAGGTTTAGATGACTTGCTTGAGTCACCCTTCCTCACCACCCCCCCCCAAATAAAAGGGAGAAGACACAGAAACAGATCTTGAATCTAAAACTTCTAATTCAAAGTCTGGCGAGTCATCCATAACTTTCAGTCTCCTGGCTCTAAGAATGTTAGATCAGGGCAATATTTGTACTAAGTTTCCAAATCAATAAATATAGATTATATGGACAGAATTGACAAGGCATAAGTCAATAATGAGCCTTTCCCCATAAGTAATTGACTGTGATGACCACTGCTGTTATGTATAAAGACATGTAGCTATTAGACAGACTTGGGCGTTCCTCCATCATTTCATACACTCAATCTGCCTTATTGTCAGTTATTCCTGAAAGTTTATTTAGTGCTAAAGAGCTGTCCTCTTCCAGAAGAGCTCCAGTCTAATCCTTGCCCAGCACAAAGTTTACTCAGAGCATGGTCCCCATGCAGCAGCATCAGTTAACAACTGGGAAGTTGTTAGATAAGCAAATTCCTGGGTCACTTCCAAGTTCTATAGAATTAGAGATTCTAGTGGTGATGTCTAGACATCTTTGTTTTACCCAGCTCTCCAGATGACTCTGACCTTTGCTAAAGTTGAAATAGTACTTTGCACTTAGGAAGTAGTTTTTATATGCATATATTTGACTGGGTGGGCTCCTCACATTCTGATATAAACTTCCTAGGCAATAAGTGCTAAGATATAACCATGCTAAAACTCCCCTGTTGGGTTAACATGGATTGAATAGAAATGCAGAAATGGGAATGAGGAATAATGAAAAAAGTACAGCTTAAAATAATCACTGGAATTCTAGGGATTCTCAATAGAAATCACAGGAAGAAAAATCTTTTGAAAAGCATATAGGAACTTAACAGAAAGAGAATATAGAATTCTGGCAGCAACATTACAGAGAACTGAAATTTTTAAGTATTATGAGAATTAACCTTAATTCATGCACACAGGGACCACTCAACATTTCACTCCCTCCC